GGAGGGGTGGGGGGGGGGGGGTGGTTGGAGTTTGTCTCAAAATGTTTTAAAAAAACTAAACCATGTTCTGATTTGTTTGTTTAATGAGTGTTGCAGGGAAACTGAGAAGCAATCCCCATGCCTTCTCTGGCAACCCATTCTTCTGCAGCATCTCCCAAACTCGGCCATTTAGGTGTTGACTTCTCACATCTTGCTTCTCACCACCTCTCTGTTCTCACATCTCACTTCTCACCACCTCTCTGTTCTGAAATGAATCCACCCCCATCCATGACCCAACAACAAAAGCCACAGTTCCAAACAGTTGATTCTCTTCAACTATACAACCCACTTAATCCACCACAAGACCCAATTTACAAAACACTGTTAATCCTCACTCATTGTGAGTCCTGCCCAAGGGTTTCTTCAAGTCTCTCTAATTTTCTTTCCTTTTTAATTTGTAACTCATCAAACCTTAAGCTATTAACCCACTCACCAGCCTTAAATCCACCAGTGTCCAGTCTTCATAACATGCCCGAATTTAAGCTTTTTTCTGCTTGATTTATTTATGTAAAGCTTTGTGCATTTTTTTGGTGTACACGTTTGTGAAAGTCTTATTTATCTTGACATGCCAAAAAATGTTTTAATCATATTTATTATTCTTTATAGAATTTGTTACATGTTTATTATTACCTTCTATATTTTGCAGTTTATTAATATGGCTCCTATGAGTCCACCATTTTCAACAATGCCATCCACCAAATTCCATGGCAGATTTTTGGGTTGCTAACATTAGGCATTAATGCAACTTATTTAAACAATGCCCTCAGTCCAAATTATGAGTTCACCAGCACCAGGAGAACACACCCACTAGTCATTTTATGAAGTCTTGCTTACATCTATGTAAACTAATTAGATTCTTTATGATTGAGTGTTATTAAATATTCTTTAAATAGGCTAAGTTGCCAAAGTCTTTGTACTTTTTCAAATTACAATCACCTCGCTATAAGAAAAAAATCTTGAGCCTTTTTCTTCAGTTCATGAGGTGTAGGTTTCAGTTTCACAACTGGTGATAGCCCTCTCCCTTACCTGACAAAACACCCATTTCAGTTTAGTTCTAACAAAACAACACCTATATCAATCATGTCTTTTAACAGCCTTTAAAATCCACAATAAAAAGTTTCGAACTTCCAATTCCATCAAACCTCTATAAGCCAAGGGTTTAGGCAAAACAAATATGACCATATCTTTAATGTGGACAGCATACAGGCTAAATTCAATAGAAAAAAAAGGACAGAATCATAAAAATACTATATTGACTAAATTCTGTAATGATGAATACAGCCATAAATCTCAAAACAAAAAGAATCAAGCAAGAAAAAAAAATGCACATATTAAAATGAATATCAAACCAATTAACCAATAGAAATATAATTTAGAGGAAAAATGCAAGGAAAAATACCTCCCAAGATATTTACACATGACTGTTCACCGTATCATGTTTCTCCACTTGTCCTTTAGATCAACCTTAAAAAAAATTTTAAAAAATGAGTTATATTACAGGTATAAGTCCGGAAAGAAACATGGAAAAGCATTATGGTGCATAGATTGCATACTCCACTTCTATTTTCAAATACGTTACTGTAAAAACTTCGGATTGTCGCCCAGTTTCCTTCTCCAAACCTGTGTGCAAAATATGGAGAATGAGAACATGAAATCATAAGCACAAAACTGTTACTAAATTGATTAGCTTTCAATTGCATGTATAACTTATAGCTATGACAGTTCACTAGGAAAATTATGGTTTGACTAGTTTAGAACAAGCACATACATTTGTACACCGGCCCTTAGTGTTTCCTCTTCTAACGAAGACCATTTCCTTTTCCTCCTCCTTGTCTGTCTTGCTTGTGATGAGTTATCTGTTGAATCCTCCCACTTCAAAAAAGAAGGAAATAAGTAATATGCTAATGCAAAAATCAAAATTGTACACAAGTACAAAGTTTCCACAAGAAGAAAAAGAATCCATCAGAAAAGACTTTTAACCATCTAATTGATCAACATTGTCTTTGTGGGTCTGCATGTCGAATCCACAGGCACTGGATCAAGTGGCAGTAAGGTTTTAAATTGTGATTACCAACATTGAGGTATATTTAAATAATAAATGGGTTTTTTATAGAACTTCCTCCAGCAGACAGAAAGCATTTTTGCATGAAAAAATTAATCTAGACCAAAATACCATTATTTAGATAAAAACCTTGGGACAATTGCTAAAAGTTAAAAATAAGGAATCTGCCCTGGATTAAAACAGATAATAACAAACATGATTACCTCATAGGTACGTGCAGTTCTATTCCGTTCCATTATGTTAGGCTGATGAACATTACTACAAGGATCGGGAGACTTCTTAACAAGATTGGCATCTTTAGGCTGAAAAAGTACAATACTTCTGCAAACATCTGGATCTGGTACATCTACATCTTCACTCTGGTTTTCAATAGGTGGTTCAATATTCGTATCTCTTGTTGCAGATTTCGATCTTATAACTTCAGATTTATGCAATGCATCAGGAAGAGGATCCTCGACCAATGCTTGTAACTCCAAAGAACTTGATTTAAGGGATTCCCGAACTTTACTAGCTTCGGCACTAGGTACAGGATCATGTTTGCTCTTCCATTTTGCTGGCTCCACTTCCTCAGGATCAGATATTTTAACTCCCCTATTACATGTACGAAGTGCAGAGTGCTTGTGTTTAAGCTGAGATTTCCGTTTCTGAGTTTCTATTGGGGACATGCGTACAACTAAAAAAATGTAAATAACAGTCAAACAGGTGTAAAATAGCAATCGTCAAACAGTATTGTGAATTTTTTCATTGAATTTTATTTCAAATAATGAATGACCTAGTCTGCGCTTGTCTAGTTGTTTGAGCATCCATTCCACACATTCCAAAAAACCAAACTTGACTCTATTCATTTGATGGATTCAAGTTGAATGGAGAGTTAAGAGTTTTTACATACACCTCTGTTCATTTTAACAAAAGTATAACATTTTTCTATTGTTTAAGCTGAACTTAATTGACAAAGTCCTGCAGTGAGTGGGTACTCGGGAAGTAAGGAAAAACAAATCACTACTTGGTTACACTTGACCATAACAACACTGGTACAGACAACATATAAACAAAATAATGAAAACACTTCTTGTGCCCATTCATATCACAGTTGATACTTAATAACACAAACAATCAAACTACAAATTGTCTTCCTTCCATACACACAGAGACTACCTTATAATTTCCAGGGTACTAGAAAAAATACTCATAAGAAAAATGCCGGCTACACTCACTCTAACACTCTCTTGCCAACACTCACTCTAGTATTGGTTGAAAATCACAAATGTTAGTGAGTCCTACCACTAAATCAGGAGAGAAGCTTATTAAATGAGATGCAAAACCCACACAATTTATGAATTCCAACCAATAAAAAGGAGAGTATTAGAAAGAGATTGTTAGGAGTGTTGGCTAGCACTCCTCTTCATGTATTCAGTCAGACCGGGAGGAATAACAAAAAGAGCACATATACATTTCATGAACAAACTAAGCAACACTACTTCCACCACTTCTAGTAGCTATCACACCTTGACAACATTAAACAAACATTAGTTCATTCAAAGTTTCAAATGAAAAGAAAACCCTTCAATTCGAAATTCACAATTCATAACAACAACAGTAAAAAGCACCTTTACCTCTCTGGGGAGGCAAGTCACCCCCACCCACTTCCTCATTTCCATCACGCGTTGCCAAATTCTTCATGCATGCATCACCATCATCATCATCATAATCAGAACGCTCTTTCTCCTTCGCCGAATTCTCCAACCCTTCTTGACCCTTGGCATTCGACATCGATTCCAGAAACGAAGGACCCATCGCTTCCCACGCTTCCTTCAAATACGCCCCCACCTCATCAAACGCTTCCTTCCGACTATTCAGCCCCGCGAGCCTCTCGCGAACCCTAGGGTCCCAAACCGCGGCCTCCACGTCGTCGCGCCACCGCGCCAACTCGCCGGAGGAGGCGATCCCGCTGCGGCGCGCCTCCAGCGCCGCCACGCGGCCGCGCCAGATGCGGTCGACGGCGGCGGAGTACTCGGCGGAGGGGGCGTCGGGGACGGCGGCGAGGTACTTGACGGTGCACTCGACGGCGACGGCGCGGTAGGCGCGGCGGAGGGAGGCGGCGGAGGCGTCGTTGGAGTGGGGCTCGAGGAGCTCGAGGATGTGGAGGGCGGTGTCGGGGAGGGAGGCGTGGAGGAGGAGGGTGTGGAGGGTGCGGAGGAGGAGGGTGTGCTTGAGGCGGAGATCGGCGCCGGAGAGAGGGAGTGAGGTTAGGGCTTTCTGGATGAGGGAATCGGGGACGGAGCTGCGGAGGAGGAATTCGAGGACCCACCGGGAAATGTCGCTGTCCATTTCAAAGATGGGGGGTTTCGGACTGGAGAGGAACACATTACACAACGACAAATAATACTTTTCTTTTTAGTTATTCACTTTTTTTTTATTATATTGTAATTGACTGTTTATTTTAGGATGGTAAAACAGGTATAAAATAAATTTTATTTTTATTTTATTGAATTAAATATATTTCATAAATTTCTTTTAAATTAGGGATTTTGATGACTATTTTGAAGGATCTAATTCACCTAAATTAAAAAAAATGAAAATAAATATTTTAAAAATAAAAAAAATTAGTTTTTATAATTTTATTTATTTTACTTACTTTATACTTTATTTTTTTTATCATTTTTAATCTTTAGAATTTAAGATAGATTTTTTTAGTTTTTATATTTTTAATTTTTTAATTTTTTTAGTTCCTATTATTAATTTTTTTTATAGCATTATTTGTTTTGTGTCAACGTGATAGATGTTTTTAATTTTATAAAAGTAAAAAAAATATTTCAACCATGAATGTGTAAGTTAAGGGTATAAAAGATACACAAAACGTAAAATTAAAAAAAAAAAGTAAATTTGACATCGTTGCAAAAAATTAATTATAAAGACTAAAAGATTAAAAACAACAAATATAAGACTAAAAAATATATTTTAAACTATAAACACTACAAATGATTAAAAAAGATAAATATAAAAACTAAAAATATTTAATAAATATAAGCATTAATACTATATTAAAAAAATATTTGTTTAGTTAAGTGTCTCTAAAAAAATATTATATCAAGAACATTAATTAAATACTATATCTTAATACTTATATTTACTTTATTTAACTTATATATTATTTTTAATTTAATTATTTTAAAATATTACAAAAATTATCATATAATAATAAAAAACTTATCAATTATCACTAAAAAATACTTATACTTATAATATAAATATAATATATGTTTATATATTGTTAAAAATTATAAATATAAATTATATAGCGTAATATATATTTTTAAAATTTAAAATTAACATTAAAATTGTGTTAATATCAAATAGATCTATATTTACATATATTATATTTATAATAATATATATA